AATTACAGTAAAAAATTCCCAAATTTTTAAAGAGCAAAACGTTCCACTTTTCGCTTGGTGATTGACACCATAAAAATGTCAAGGAACTGTATATTACCAAAATGTCTATAATATCAAGGTGAGAATTCCAGCAGCTCGTGTCACGTGAATTTACACAAATTTTAAATGTTTAGAGTAAACAAACAACACTATTTGTTCCACTTTATTAGCAAATACTGTGCGTATAAAGAGGAACAGAGATGTATTGTTTTTCCTCCATTGCGTGCTGTTCGCAATTTTGATTAACCAGTGAATGTTTAACCTTCCAATTTCATGTCAAAAATTACAGAAACAATTGAAAAACAAATCAAACAATAAAGCGTGTGTGTTAAAAGTTACACAAAATTATTCTCAATAGCATAATAATAATAACCACAAGATAATAATGCACAACAATTATTGCGAATTTGCGTGCTTTTGCATACAAATTACCATGTTGAAGATACTTAATCACTTCGTGTTACATTGTGTGATTTTCTAAACGCAAATAGCTCTATTATCTTGAGAAACCGGATGGTAATCCATGTGCACCTTGAATTGGATTCTACGATAAATTACAAGCTGCGAATTTTTAAGCACCTGATTAAGACTCGGATAAAGTTCGCGTTAATTTTAAATGGTGAGGCACAAACAGTATGCTTACAAACTCGCTTAATTTGCAGCAGGCGATATTTTCCATTGATTGATGATGTAGGGAACAAAATATTTCAAGTCATTTCTTAACAACCTAAAAAAACTTCTGTTTTTGTAGATAGATATCTTAATGTATCTCAACCATATGTTCTACGAATAAAAGTGGATATAAATCTCAGATTAAAGAGGAAAAAAACTAACGCTACATGTGGTCTAGTGGATAACCAATCATATTTTGGGTTTTTTCACGTATGATGAAGTGCACCACCTGTACACCTGGGTCTAGAACTGTCCTTGAACTTCTGGTTCATTTAGTATTTAAAACACTACTTCCTACAGCTATATTTTAATGTAGTATACGTCGATTTTTTTAGTTTTTGTTGCTAGGTTCAAGTAATCTATACCTGTCGCCATGAAAAAGTGTCCATAATGAAGATAACAACCGCATAACCTATTCAAATTTCGACAACTTTGGTGAGATTAAAAAATTACGGTTATTTTATAGGCAATTCATTCTAGATTGACGTTTATGAGTTTTTTATAGTCACGGTTGACAAAATGGCATATTCAAAAATTCAAAATAGGAAAAACCTTGCTCGAAGTAAGGTAACACATGTTATCGATGTAGCGAACACTTATCACCAAAATACGAAAATAGAGACGTTTAATTGACGATTAAAAACATTGTGATTTATCGAGGTCAGAGTTCAAAATTTCGCGACACTTTCAGGCGACCAAAAATCGATTTGATACATATTTATAAACGGCGTAAAGTTGATATCTTGACCCTACAATCATGTATAAACAAATTACAAATGAAACCGTTAATATTATTGTAGGGGACTTTTATGTCTTGTTTTATTTCGGTTTTATTCAGTCGTAAAAATTGTATATTCACTAATAAAAATACAAATTTCAAAAAACCATAAGTCTATCACATAACAGGTTTATGAAATAAAAGAGATACGAGGATAATATACTGATTCTTGGCATTTTTTCTATTTTAAAAATGTTGTATACTTTTAGATTTAAGCACAAATGCAAATACAGAAAAGATAAGCCTGAGAATATTCTCCGCTGAGTTGTCAAAATTAATTTACAACCTTGTAGCCCGCAAAAACGTGTTCGTTAAAAAATACTGGATGTTTTACTTTCGAATATTTTCGTCGATTTCAGTATCAATCAATACGCGATGGAGAAATTATGCAGATCTTTTGATTTACAGCCCACAGTTGTTAGAGAAATGTCATAATTGAATAAAAAAAAAAGATTTAAAACCTCGACGCCGCAAATTAATTTTATCGTTTCTCAAATATTTTTCGCATGGGAATTTTTATACACACATTTTGCTTCAGGAATAATGGGACAATAAAATTTTAGTACAATTATATACCGGCTCTTAAGTTTCAAAATATAAAATAGTGGCAAACGCATTTGCCAAAATGATAATGCTGCCAAAAATTGGGACACTAATTCCGCATCCCCTCGATCTACGCGACGTTTTGCTTCAGAAATCGACAAAAATAGCCCATATCTACACTATACGATTATAGCGTCCTTTTGATATCTTTTATGGCTCCGGATAAGAAATGTTTTATTAAGAAAAATCCACCTATTGATATTTTGTTTTCGATTTCGAATATTTTGCGCGCATTAAACTCTTTCCAGATTTATGGCAACGCAACTTATTAGTGCTTTGGGTTCTATAAATTACTTCGTCGGCGTATCTAAGAATAGATAAAACACTTCACGGACTGAAACGTAGCCCATAAAGAAAAAGCGACGCCGTTCTAAATTAAAAAAATAAAATACTTGTCGAGAAAGGCCAATAAAAAGTTTGAGTCAGGTGCACCCTCTATACCTATTGAATTCACCAACTTTCACCCTTTGCAAGATATATGGTTCGTGAAAATCTCGCAAAGGGTTTTTTTTTAGAAAGTCGAAGCGCACCCATAAATTCTCGAAATGTCACCCACAAATCCTTGCCCCAGTGAAACGCAAGCTCTCGCTCATATTTTTTATCTAAATTATGTAAAAAGTAGATGCGTTAACAAAAATTGCTTGTTTTGAATATAAAATTGGCCATTAACCAAATAAAACTCACATTAGTGTGTTTTATTCGCTATAACTTTGCACTTTGATATCAAAATAGTCAATTAAGAGCAATAATACACGATATATGCAATAACCCGATGACACAAACTCATAATAAAAACTCTGCTCTCGACTTGAATGAATCGACAAGTTCAAGGTTTTTCGACTATTAAAATTCCAGACGTTTTTTCAAAAATAATACAAAGCGTATTGTGGATGTAGAATATTTTTGTTCTCCAACCAGCGACATGAAACCAGTTCGACACCAAAGGCATAATTAATTCTGAACAACAAGCAAACAAGCTTTGTCTCAAATATGGTGCCAGACTAAACCAAAGCGTGCGTTATGTTGTTTGTCAATGTAAAATATGAGCACGTTTCGAAGAATTACGGCAAGTCGTTACTGACGTTTTTTCTTACAAAACTAATTCTATTATCGTAGTAGAACATTATCGAAATTTCGAATTACATGCATATTCAAACAGCGATATCAACTCCTGAATTGTAATCTCAATGTCGCATTAAATCTTAAAAAAATTCCATTTTTATTTTTAATTACTATTCGAGACGTGGAACCAAAAATAAGTTTGGGATTTATTGGTGGCGGGCAATCTGATAATATTTACTCAAAACGGGCGACTAAATGGAAACTGTGACACGGAATAACACATGTTAACTATACACGTAATCAAAATATACAGGCTGTCTCGTGGAAATTGTCCATGTACTACACTATTGTGTACGACTGTTCCGTATTGCTTATTTGAGACTGAAGAACGATAATAACAATGTTATTGATAAGCTAAACAAGATCCTTACAATTCTTAAACAAGACTACACTGCAAAAAATTAATAATAACTTTGTTCAAAATACGTAACACTCATATTTTACAATAACTGCCACACTCAGTTCTTTATACCATCTTATAACTTTTTATGAGGATCGTAATTTTTGGTAATTTTGTATTCTGCATGTTTCATAAAAGCTTCAATACCAACAAAAATTGCTGATGCGCATTGCGACTTGCGTTTTTATTTTCTCACGATGTAATTACGATGTTGTTCTTTTATTTTGGTATATTGAATTGCATTTTGTGTAGAGGTTGGTAATCAAGTTGATAAGTGAAAGTCTGTGTTGGCAGTCATGATAATCTTGACATTATACAGCAACATACCAAAATAAACATTACAAAGTAAGTACAATGTGAGTAATAATAAACATCAGTTCACATAAAAAAGCCGAAGCGAAATTTAGTGTGGGTCTATTTGAAAACTTGTGAAAGAAATGCGCTTGCGCAGTGGACGTTGTCCCTAACCTCTAAATTTAAAAGTTTCGAGCTGTTATTCAGTGTTATTTAAAAATTGGTGGTTTGTAGAAAAACCCAATCAATTATGAACGAGATTAGCCTAATTAATTGTAACGGCTTCTTATATTACACAATTAAAAATTTTATGTGCTATAAATTTGTATTAATAGTCTATGGAGAATGTTTTTCTTTTTTAATAATAATTTTATTACTTGTAGTTCCATTTTGTTAAGTGTGTAGCTATTAACATTATAATCTTGTTCAAAGCTGCATAAAAATTTAAAAATTAACCTAATGAAGTAATTCAGTCGAATATTCACAGTGGACAGATTAGCATGAGACACTCTGTATAACCTACACATTGTTTGATATTATTTAATTAAATGATGTTGAAAAAACGCGAATTAAATTTTTATTGGTAATTATTATAATGTTAATTGCCTGTGAACTAGCTTATGAACGATTATCATTGTTGATTACGGTAATAATAATTACTGATGTACTTTAATGAAATTAAAGTGTGATCATTACAAAAGTAAACAATGTGTAAATTAAAAGGACCTTGTAGATGCATCGTGCAACATTCAGCAAGGTCGTCACGTCTGCGGACAAAAATACAAGAACATGTGTACGTAGTACAGTCGAATTGTTTTGCGAGTACTCGCTGCGAACAGAATAAAAATATTCCATATTACTTAGATAACATTCAGTAATTATCGTTACGCACTAATCAAATGAACGAAAGGCGAAAAAATATCAATAAAAATTTAATTTAATTAGTTTTAATAATAATGAGTAATAAAAATAATTGCGATTGCTATAAAAGTAATTAATTAAACAATATCATTAAAACTAAATCGACAATAACACTTAAAATTAATTATAATAATAATAAAAACAAAAAAGATTATGTACCATTGTACTCACCACAGACCACTCGGTCAAATGGGCTCATCCAGTCTGAAAAACATGAATATAAATGTAGATTAATGCGTACGGGACGAGAAACGAAGTGAATAATTTGGAAGAATTTTATGTTTGTATTGGAGCAGCGATTGTCTGCAGCGAAGAGTGCACTTTTATGACTAGGTTTATTGTTATTGCCCACTAAGTAGCTATTAAACGCATGTTTTATTAGTGTTTAAGGAGTGATCGAATTCTTGAAATTCAACTAGGGAATAATGGCTTGATTAAGGAAGCGGTTTGCCGTCGGAAGGCGCTGCTCGCTATTCGTCCGTCACCCGTCGACCCGTCCGTCCGTCAGTCAATTCTTCCAAATCATTTCACGAAAAATGCGTTCGGTCATACCTGTGATCGACATCCAAGGATACCTCGGTATGTCCGGAATGGGCTGTCCGCCGGGGGCGGCGGGCTGCGAGCACGAGTTGAGCGGGTCGACGACGGCGCTGGCGGCCTGGTGGTAGAACTGCGCCGCGACGGCCATGGAGGCGGAGGCGGCGCTGACCGAGCTGGCGGCGGAGACGGCGGCGCCGTTCTGGTGGTGGTGTCCGAGCGTGTAGTTGACCATGGAGTCGGTGGGGGCGACGTTTGCGGCGAGGCCGGCCGTGTACCGGCACGATTTGTCGGCGGCGGCGTCGACCGCGGCGGCGGCGGCCAACGCCGCGGTGCTGGCGCTCGACGAGAACGACGGCACCATCGTGCCCGAGGCGGCCGCCGCGCCGAAGGCCACGGCGGCCGCCGCCTGCTGCTGGTGGTGGTGGTGGGCGGCGGCGGCCGACACGTACGGGTACATCCTGGCGGCGGGGGAGGTCGACGACGCGCTGCTGCTGGAATGTTGTGGCGAGGAGCCGCTCGGCGAGCCGGACGAGCTGTAGTTGACCGCGGAGGAGGCGAGGCTGGCCTCTATGGAGGAGGTGGCGGCGGGGCTCTGGAACAGCTGCTGGTGATGGAACTGCTGGTGGTACTTCGGGAGCATGCTATCAATTATGAATTTGGAACTCATTGCTGGTTCCGGCCACTGCACAGCGCACTTGTTGTCATAGTCCGGTGATTAGCACCACGGCACTCGTTTACGACCGCGCACTCGAGTCTACTTCGACGGCCTCGTTTCGCCCTTAGCGGAGTATTTCTTACGCGTCCTTCTCCTCTACTTCTTCGAATCCTTTATGACCCATGTATGTTCAGTCTATAGCCCTCTATGCCTTATCCACGGTACTAGAGCGGTAATGGCGCCCCTCCACAAGCGCGCCAATCCGAGCAGGTGCGGATCCGGCCAATCGCGGACAGACTTGCGCTCGACAGCACGCAAACGCTCGCTACTTCTTCATTCCGGCCCACCGAACGATCACTACTTCTTCTACGACTCCACGTTCAAACACAAATAAACACCACGAAAACAACACTTTTACCGCCGCGCCGTTCTCAAAAACTACCTTTTCCTCATATTTTCACAAGAATGGACAAACCAGTGCCATCTGTGGCGAAAACGGGGAATCGGCGCGACGACACCACGCTCTCTTGCCGCCGTGCCGTGCCACGCCGATCCCTCCTTTACTTCGTCCTGGCACTGTGGGATGCTGACCTTACACTACTACTTTATCTAAATGGCCTTGTATTATCGTCACGCATTCCATGTTTACTCGGCCTAAATGACGTATTATGGGATCTACGACACCTAATCCCTCAAAAATTTATGCGCTCAGTCATGGTGACTTTTGGCGCCTTTCCTAAGCGCCACAACTATTAGCCACCGATCAAGGAACACTTACCCCTCAGCCGCAATCGACTCACCTGAAACAAAAAATATATATATATAACAATTAACTCTTTCATTTTAACTTTTAAAAATTACCATTCGTTAATTTTAACTCGGATTCAAACCGCAAAATGCATATAAACATACAGCGCAATATTTTATGGTTAATAAAAACACCGCAATTAGTATTACAATAGATAATGTAGTATTACAATTTTTTAACACTCATTCTCTCACCTTTAAGATTTTTATATTAATTTTATAGCTTCATTATTATTATTTTTTTTGTATAATTTGTGATGAAGGATTATTGTTATCTGCCACAGCTTTGAGATAAATACACAACTAGGTATATGGTTGCGGGACATCTACAACTTTTGCTTACTATTATTAATTGAGCTAAACTAAAAATTTGATAATCAGAATATAATTAATAAATTAATTGGTTTAAGATAAGGCGTGCATATAAAGAAAAAATTGGAGACTCACTCAGATATTTTAAGCAATATTTAGATGGCTTGGTGTGTAAACCTTGTTTTTTTATTTTCATTGATGTATACCAAATAAATAGAAATGGAATATGTATATTTCCACATATCTATTAAAATCTGTGAAACGCCAAGTAAGATTAATATTAGGCTATAAACAAAACACCATAATTTTTAAAATGAGAATATTAGAAATACGAAAAAATCGTCCAGTCAAGGCAAGAGAAAAAGGTAAAGATTTTAAAATTGCATTTTTTTTCGCCCATCTTTAGCTCCGTCCTTTTTGTCTTTTATTGTCTTTCCCCTCAAAATATTTTACTACTTGGCAAAAAAAATACGATTTTTCATGAGTCTTGAAAATTTCCAACACACGTTTCAAAATAATCATAAAAGTTCTAATCTTATGCACTAAGTATACGAATTTGATTCATGGAACTTGGGTTTTAATAAAACTCGTGTAACAACAGACACTAATGAAAAATTTCCGGGACGAGTTTTTTTAAAAGTGATGGCATTTGCAAAACTAGTTTTTAATTACTTTTGGTTTCGTTAATAAAATTTGATCTATTACAATGATTTTATTTAAATGAAGATTTTAAGTTTACCGATTACAACTTCACAAAAAGTTTTATTTTTATTATTATTATCCGTAACTATATTCATTTTAATTGTTAAGACAGAAAGTTTAAGTCCGTGAAATTAAGAGAAGTTCAATAAATTGCTAATGTAACGCAAGTCTTCCGGAGTGCGTTTAATTAAACTTTTAACGCTGTTAGATGTAGTTTCTTTAAGAAGGTATGTTTTTTTTTTTATAGTGTCCTATTAGAGATTTAAAGCATGTTTGTATCTACATTCGTCTGAAAAACTGATAAACTAAATAATAATTTGTGACAGGAAATCCGTTGAGATGTTCCTCACAGAGTTATTTGCTATAGTGAATTATACGATATCTTTAAAAAGGCGTTGGTATAAAAACACTACTAACCTTGTTCAATTTATTGTAAACTCATGAATAATCAAAGACTAGAAGTTACATATAAAATCTAAATATTTTTTTCTTTTTTACGAACCATAAATTAAATTTATGTCTTATTTAAAGCAAATGTAATGAAAATTTTAATTTGTTTGCATAATTTGCTTTAAAACGTAACTGAATATTTCTAGTTCCATAAAGCTGATTGTTTAGTTTTCTATGTAAGATATTTTACCATGCAGAGCCAAATGGTTTTTTAATAACAAAATAATACAAACTTCAAACAATTTTTGTTAGACATAATTTCAGATAACGTCAATTTTAACTTTACAAGTATGCAGTACCTCTTTGTTATTTATATTAAGACTTAAAAAAAGAAAAGTTGATAAAAGCCATTCTTAATCCAATGATAATTCTATAGTATCATAACTGTCTCGTGAGATGTATATTGTTTACATACCAGCATGTAAATGTTTGTGTAGGTTGATTTAATATTTTTTCCATTTTGATTAAACAAAAGATTGTAGTAGACTTGTTATTACAATATAAAAATTTACAGTGACATTGTCGTTTTCAAGAATTAAATTTTGATGTGACGCATTCAATGACTAAGAGATGCCCAGTTTTAGCAAACAACAAAAAAAGAATTACTGGTATGTTAATAAAAAAATATTTAATCAGATGGAAACTGTGAGACTTGGAGTAGATACAGTTGGAGTGTTCAAAATTATATTTCATGTTAGGGATTACATATTAAAATTTATCAGAAATATAGAATTGTCAAAAATAACCAAAGTAACCTTAGTATTATGCTTTTACCACAATAAGCTTAATGGATTAAGTACTTTAATTTAAAAGAACTATATTTACCAATATATGTATTGGTAATTGACATTATATCTGCATAACAACCTATCATTAATGCTTTCGTACAATTACAGCTTCACATATTAATAAAAATTGTGTTGAAGTTACTTTTTTTAACATAGACACTGAGCACAGCATAATCAGATTATGATTAAACTGCAAATTGCTGTTTTGTCATCTACCTGACCATGTACTGAAGAATAAAAAAGCTTATAGGTAATGTAAATTGTAAAAATTCATTTGGTTTCCACCACAGTATGATCCGTATAATTCATAATTCCAGTGTATGTCTGTAAGAAGGTTCGATGGATTGTAGATTGGTTCGTATTATTATGGAAACTTCAACTTCCAAGTTAATGTCACAGTTTCTTTCAGAAAAGATTCAGAATAGGAAAATCTTTTTTTGTTTCTCGAGCATAATTTTAATAAATTGTACTCGATTTTTAAAACTGAGCATTTTGATTTTTGCCACGAGAATCTCATGGTAATATTGATCATTGGATATACGTCGTGTGACCTTAGCTATTTTTAAACAAACACTCATGAAGCTTATAAACAAGTAACTTTAAGTTAAGTTACAAAAAAATGGAGGGCTTCATTAAAAAATGGAAATTCAGACTGAAAACGCAGAGAAAATAATTACTAACTATTGACGTCATTCTTATGTTTACGCTTCAAGATATCATTAAATTTGATCTTTATTGGAAATTAATAACTTCACTCATAAGCAAAATATTGCTGATCTAAGACAAACCGTATACCTATGTCCTAACCTGGTACATATAGAAATATTAACGATCCTACTACATTATTCATATTTATTGGTTTACTTGCTATTATGATTATTATTAGCTTCTTTTGTTCCATACGAGTTTGCCAGAAAATGCAACTCTATTAAGTTCTTGTCCTGGTGAGAAATTAGGAATTCGTTACCTGTCAAAGTTCACGCAAATCACCCTCTTCTCTTTCTCTATTTTACGATCTGTCATTGTACTTTGACGTGATATCGCAATTCAATCAACGTCGATTTGATTACCAGAGTAGGTAATTTTATAGTGCTTTGCAATTCATTTATATACACACATAAAAGAGAGCACCGCGTTCGGTATCATTATGACATTCACTGATCATAAAATAAGGCTACCACCTCGCTTTTCACATTGCCCGCTTCCGAGATAAAATCTGGGCGAAGGCGGCTCTGAAAGATGTCATAAAACTGTAAATGACCGTTTTGTGGTTATTTTACTAAGTACGGTGTCATCCACAGCCCCATTGCGTCCGTCATTTGGTGTCTGGCTCTGACGGATCCTCACAATCGTGACAATGTGTGCTAACATCGTAGCTTGCCATGCGTACAAGACAGACGATATTGCTCGACTGTCATCACACAACACAATATTATCATAAACACGAGAGGAAGTAGGGATGATAAATTGCAGGAGACGAAAATGCCTAATGCTATGTTAGTGGGCATTTAACGACACCGGAAAAAAGCACGAATTTATTTTCGCCCCTGGAATACGTAATTTATAAAGATAAACAGGGTTATTTTTATTTACGCAATTTAACTGCTAATTTATTACAGCATTTGAACTCTCTTCTACGATATTTTTTTACGTTGTGACTGGTTGTACTAGCGATTTATTACTAGCCTATCTGCACTAACAATGAAGTAGTAAATTACTTCAATGAACTAAGTTCAAAGCTAAAACCATCAAACTTTGAATAAAATAATACATATTTTCTGACACGTCGAAAGTGTAGAAAATTATATTTAGAACACATAGTAGCTACACTATAAAAAAAATAAAAATATGCGTACCAAAGAACAAAAAGAAATGAAATGTTACTCAGTCAGAAGACGACATTAAAATCGCGTTTTATTGTAGATTTTCTTATTATTATTTAATTGGTTTCCAAATTGTAAATAGTAAAGCACACAATTTTTGTATTCTAATAAAATTTTGCAACCTCAAAGTTAAAGAGCCTCGGTCGTCTAATTCTGAACAGAGACGTATGTGGTCTGTAACAGGTGTAATGAATTAAATAAGGTAGAGTTCCGCTAAAGATATAGTGCGATTATGACTATGACTTCATAAGTATATTACTGCGGATCTCATAAAATTCGATTAACACAAACAATGTCATGTTACACTGACGGTTATTAGATGGGTCGTAGTGAAATAATTTTTATTTGTTACTATTACACTAGGAGAAGGTTCTCCTGATAAACAGATTCATTGCAGCCTACCCTGATGAAGTCGTAAACATTACCCTAAGTTAAGTAGCAATTAAGTTATATCTTTCGTCATACTCTATCTATAATGACTGTGTGTAGCAAACAGAATATTAAGTCCTTGTTTAGCTTTGTATCTAGATGTGTGTAGTTTGGTTTTTAAGTTCAAGTTAGCACTTGACTAACTGAATTTAGAAAAATAAGTACCTATCTGAATATACTCCTACAAACAATCCAAAAAGTTAAGTAATTAGAGCAGTTTACTAGGGAAATTTTCAAATATTCTTGGTGTAAATGACACTAATGGGGTATAGAATTATATTCGTATACAAAAATAGAATATAGCCAACCTCAACACTGAATCACCATCAGTTCCAAGGTAAGAAATGTTATTCTCTCGGAGAATGAACAAAATTATAACAAGAGATAACGATCGACAATTAATCAATTTGGTAGTGCAAGTCTTCACGA